TTCAGTAAAGCAAAATGGAGCACTTATTGGGGCAACAGATCATAGGAACAATTTCAGAATTGACTCTTATAAAAAGATGTTGTATTATATTGAAATGTAGCAGTTGAACTATGGAACTGAGTCTCTCTAATTCCCCTGACCTATCTTCTATACCTCTGTCCCTAATGCTAGACTTCTAGAAGTCTCCCTCCAATTCCTTGCTCATCCCTACCCATACTTCCTAGCCAATTTAGTGAATCTTTCATCTGTTTTTTTTTTTTCATGTGTAAAACTTCCTGGTTGTTGCTGATAGATAGATAGATAAATAGATAGATAGATAGATAGATAGATAGATAGATAGATAGATAGATAGATGTATTTGTAAGTAGATGGGAAGAAGAGGTGTAGAGTGAAAGACTATACATACATGACAGAAGAGGCAGCTTGGCAACTGAAGGAGGGGATGAGATCAGGAGTTAAAGCAGAGAAATTAATCTTACTGAAGAGTAATGATACATCTATTGTAAGCAGAGGGAAGCAGGATAGATTGAGTAATGACTAAGTTCTGAGAAATGTAAGAAAGAGGCTGAATGAAACACTGAATGACTTCAGTCTTCTTGGTAAAAACAGTAGAATAGGTACTTAATAAATGCTCATTGATTGTTTGATTAAAAAAAAGGTAGTGTGGATCCAGGTAAAGTATGAGAGTGGAGAAAGTATAGCAGGAAGATGTTTGAATCTGACATGATGATTCTTGGTCACGGGGAGTAAGGAAACAAGTTTGGTAGGTAGTACATATTTTCATTAGAGTAGCTTTATTTAGTTTTATTTATTTATTCATTTTTATAGTAGTATTATTTCTACTACTATATCTCTATAGCAAGTTCTTCTTTCCAACTTCCAGGATTGTAGTATTAACCTCCTTATTCCATTTTTCTAGGTTTTCCTGGAGTCAGAAAGACATGGGTTGGAATACTCAGATACTAGCTGTGTAATCCTTGTCACTTACCTTATATTTTCCTAAGTTCTTCATCAGTAAAATGGAGGAGTTGGACTAAAGTCTCTTCTATTTCTTAATCTATGAGCTTGTGATCTTTTCTTTCTCTTTTATATGTTGCCCATCTGCTAAACACTTTTAAGTAGCTCTCTATTGCCCTCTGATTTAAGTTCAAACTATTTTTCAAGACTTCCTACATGAAAAGTATGAAATGTAGTGTTATTACTTTTATTTCTTTTTATATTGCTTATATTTTATTTTTATGTATCATATTATATTTTATATTACTTTTATGGCCTTTTCATTTTACCACTTTCTTTGTACTATTTATTTGAGTCAGTCTAGAATACCTGCTGTCTGCCTATACTAATGTTTAAGTGGCTTTGCTTACACTATTTGGAATACTTAGAATGTCCCAAACCAACCTTCGGGGACTATCTATCCATTAGAAACCAACTTGAATATCACCTCCTCGATAAAGTCTTTCTTGATCCAAGTCAAAAAATATCTTTTTGCTTTCAGCTAGGTAGGGCAGTTATGTGGTGCAGTGGACAGAGCAGCAGCCCTGAAGTCAGGAGGACCTGAGTTCAAATGTGGCCTCCGACCAAACACCTGACACTTACTAGCTGTGTGACCCTGGGCAAGTCACTTAACCCCAATTGCTTAAAAAAATGTGGCTAGGCCCCCTTTTTTATACACTTTGGATATTTAAACACCAAAATGTGGAGCTCTGAGGAAAAAATGATTATAGCTTAGAATTTGGTGCATATCTACAGTCTCTCCTTAAAAAAATAGGAGTACAAAGTCAATCAATGAATAATATGAAGGGGACAAGAATTTTTCCCAACACATGAAATAAATACTAAAGGTTTTTAAAAAAAAGACAGGTACACATTGACAGAAAAACTTAAAATAGAAACCAATAAAAATTTATAATGATTGTATTCTTTCAGGATATTGACGCTTAAAACTCATCAGAATATTAAGACATTTTGCAGGCCTCCTGAGTAAGCATTTTATATTTTCTTTTGAGTCTTCATTGTCCGAACTTCCTGTCCATACCTTTTGGCAAAACAAGCCTGGCTTGGGCCAATGCACCTTTTAGTGGTCGCCTTCTCTAAGAACACTGGAATACCTGTCATGGATAGCTCCCCTTTCTGCCAGTCATATCTAATGAAAAAGGATCTATGACCTCTGAAATTCACATGGTCCCTTCCAAATTTTGAAATATCTGTCTTGAGATAGCTACTAGTTCACCCAAGATCAAGAAAGAAGAAAGACAAAAGAGGCAGCTCCAAATTCAGGTTCAGGTTTGCCCAGGCAGGGCATATATTTAAGGAATGCAACTCAAAGTAATCCTGTCACTGAAGCTTTAGACAGGATTTAGTCCCTTTTAAATATCTACTAATATGGGATGGCCCCTATATTCAACTTCTGCTACAAAATATTAACTTGATGTCTTTTTTTTGGGTGATGAATAAGGAGTTATTTGTCTACCACTTATTTCATCAGATAAATAAAAATGAAGAAGCCATGCTTATAAAATATATAAGCTTAAATTATATGTAATATATAAGCATAATGTGTAATGTAAATTTATAAAATATCTGTAAATTTTTACATAAATATGTATTTAAAATATGTAAATAATATATATTTGTTTACTTATATGAATATATATTATATATTTATTACAATTATATAAATGAATATATAGAATTTATATTTATAAAATATACATTATATATATTTATATAAAATAAATTAGCATAATGCACATTTTTTCTTTTTTTGTAGGCAATAAGGTTAAGTGACTTGCCCAAGGTCACATAGCTAGTAAGTGTCAAGTGTCTGAGGCCAGATTTGAACTCAGGTCCTCCTGACTCCAGGGCCAGTGCTCTATCCCCTGCACCACCTAGCTGCCCCTATAATATATATTTATAAAACATATAAATGACACGAAGCTGAGAAGTTAGCTGACTCATTAAATGATAGGAACAGGGTTTAAAGAAAAAGGAAACCTATGATAAAATCAAAAAGATGGAATGTTGTAGTGTCTCACACAAAAGACACAATGTTTATTGAATTGTATTGAGCTAAGTGGTTCAGTGGATAGAATGCTGGGCCTGGGGTCAGGAAGACCTGAGTTCAAATCTGGCCTCAGACATTTACTAGTGTGATCATGGGAAAGTCACTTAGCCCTATCTGCCTCAGTTTCCTCATCTGTAAAATGAACTGGAGAAGGAAATAACAAACCACTCCACCTTCTTTGTCATGAAAACCCCAAATAGGGTCATAAAGTATCAGACACAACTGAAAATGACACAAAAACAAAAACAACAAATTGAGCATAAAATCTTGCACTTAAGTTTAAGAAATTGATTTGACATGTTGAATACAACATAGCACAGTGAAAAGATCAAGATATCGGAGACAGAGATACAGACAGACAGCATCTGTGATGCTTTCTACCTATATGACCTTGGGCAATTACCCTGAAGTTTGGTTTCCTTTTCTGTAAAATTTATGACTTCAACAAGATGACTTCTGGATTCCTTTCTGTGATTCTGTGTATAGGACAGGGAGAATAGATTTCATAATTCTTTAGGTGAAAAAAGACAAGATTTTAGTTTGCCAAAATTGTAATATACTGTATTCCAGTGGAGATACAAAACTAAGGTGATCTTAGGCTGTCTGGTATACAGAGAGATCATAGGAAAGAATGGTCCAATTTTAAACTTCACTGATCAGAACACTTCTGGACTATTGCTCTCAGTTATTGGGCTACAGTTTAATATAGATATTAATAATCTAGGATCTAGAAAATATTCAGCATAGGACAAGTAGATAGGTAAGGAGTACAGAAACCATCTTAAAATAAGTTAAGAATAATAAATTATCTTTTAATGAGCTCAGAATAAGCACTTAACAAAGACTTAATGTAATAGGCATATGAAAAAAGTATCACATTTGGGGAAGAGTAATCCAAGGGGTTATACTACCAATCTTCTTTAAATATGTGAGGAGAAACTATATAGACAACAGAGTAAAACTGGAATCAATAGGTGAATGTTAAAAGGAGGTAGATTTTTTGTTAAAAAATAAGAGATGTGTAACAATCAGAAATGTCCACAAAGTGGAAGAGTCTGCCTTAATTGTTAATGAGTTCCCTGTCACAGAAATTATTCCAACAGAGGCTAGATGAGCTACTGTTGGGACTGCTTTACAAGCGTCTTCACCAATAAGTGAATGATTGGATTAGATGACATTTAAATTATCTTCCAATTAGTGATTTTTATTTGTTTGTCTTATGTTTGCTGCTATCCTATAGCTTTCCCAAGATGGTCAGAGAAAAGAATGGGCTAGGATGGAGGAGGGACAGAGATAATAATAACAAAATCTAAAACCCAAGTGAAAAATAAAAATGAGGAGATCTAGAATGTTGTGAGTGAAAAAGGATAAAGGGAAGTAGGAAACAGAAAAGTGTGGTATATTTCTACATATTCAGTTTTAGCTAACTAAAAGCAGTTAAGTGGCACAGTGGCTTGAACCTTAAACTTGGAGTAAGGAAAACAGGTGTTCACATCCTGCTTCAGAAATATTAACTAGCTGTCTGACTTTGGGCAAATCACTTAACCTCCATGTTCCTCAGTTTCTCCATCTATAAAATAATAATAGTACCATTCAGGGTTGTTTTGAGGATAAAATGATATGTGAAAAGTACTTTGCAACCCTTATACAAATGCTAGCTATTATTATTTTTGAATACCACCTATTAGACATAAACTGTATATGTCTTCAAAAATAGGAAGAATTTATGAAATGTAGGGCTGGAAAAGGCCCTTAGAGATTATGTAGTTCAATTCCCTTATTTTACACTAATTCTGCCTAAGATCTTGCAATCAGTATTAGAAAACAATTCATCAGACTTTTAGAGCCTGGGTTCTTCCCACTACATTAGGCTGCTTTTTTTTTTTCCCCTTTCCATGAGATGCTACAGTAACTGTCTGAGGATTAGGTCCTGGGACGACAAACCTAGCAAGTCTGATGCTGGCAAATAAGAGCAGCCGCACTGGACAAGAAGGTATTCCAGAACCAAAGAGTGGGCGGGGCTTTGAGGCTGTGGCCCAGAGATAAGGAAGGGGGCGCTCGAGAGCACTTCTGAATCGGAAAGACTGCCATGGCCTGGGAGGTTGGTGAGGCTGCGGGCTTCATGCTCCGGGAATTCCAGCCTGGGGACGCGGAAGCGGTGCGGGAGCTGTTCGCTGCGGGCATGAGCGAGTACGGACCCGTGCTGTGCACACACGTGCTGCAGCAGCCTTGGATAATGCTCACCCTGACCGGTACGTTCCTGCTGCTGGTGTCCAGCGCACACTCCCTGCTCCTACCTGCGTTCGTCCTGACACTGCTACTGGCAACTGGCCACCTGGTGCTGGGCCAAGTCTGGGCCCTTTACATCCGGAGTTGCCTCTCTCAAGACCTGAAGGACATTGGGGACGCCTACGGGCCGCACTGCGGTGCCCGCTTCTGGGTGGCTGAGGCCGGGGGCCAGGTAGTGGGTATGGTGGGCGCGCGGCCAGAGGAGGGCCACGGTCCCTCCGGCGTGCTGGTGCTGAAACGCATGGTGGTGCGCCGAGACTACCGAGGCCGCGGCGTGGGCAAAGCCCTGGGACGAGCTGTTCTGGCCTTCGCCTGCGAGCAGGGCTGCCGCGCCGTGGTGCTTGTCACGCACCGGTTGCAACGCGAAGCCCGGAGCCTCTACCTCGGCCTCGGCTTCCAGCCAGAGGCATCTCAGCCGCTTCCCACCTTCTACGGACGCCTGGTGGACTTTACACTCACCCGCTACCGCTACGACCTTGCACCGGGGGACTAAGGCGCTGCAGCCTAGGGAAGACCTTGAACAGGAGGACTGTGTTTCCTGGAAAAGGAGAGACAGAAAGCAGAGCTAGAACTCCTCCCTCTTTCGCTTAGGGAGGGACCCAGATGAAAACATTAATGAAATTAGGGTTAACTGGTTTGGGGATTTCAGGGGGCAGTGAGCGTGTGTATATGTGTGTGCGTGTTTGCATCCCGAACAAGTCATTTCAACTCCCGGGAGCACAATATCTTGCGACTGGATGTACTTTGTGATTTCTAAGGATACTGAAAGCAATTAAATAACGAGTATGCGTTATGGGGAGAACAGATGAAGTATATTATATTGCAGAACATTAGGTGCCTCTCACTTTTTTTTTTTTTGGTTAAATGTCCAAATAATCGTTCTGGGTTTGGGGCTAGGGGGTGCAAATACCCTTGAAAAGAGGAAGGATGACAAGATTAAAAAACTACTTAATGCTTTCTTCCTTGAGTTTTATGAACCTCTGTAGAATGCATTAGCAATACTGTCCTTTCCCACCCCCCACCCAGGCTAGAATTTACTGTTAATAAACGTAACCTTCCTGTTAATATGCTTAAACTTAGATTGAGAAAAAGAAATTCCCTGAAATTGTACCGTACTTTTCATGAGTGCTCTGCCTCCAGCCCATCCTCCACCCTTCATCTAGCATGACTTTGATATTAGATGGCACCATAGAGTGTGATTTGAGGTGCAAAAACGAAGTTTCCAAATGAGCCCCTGAAATGCCTGAAATTCTTCCATTGTCTTTATGAGCACGATTTGCAATTCACCGTACTATAATTTCATTTAGAGTTAATAAGGGCCTTCTTAAAATAAAGATAATATGTGGAAGGTTAGTTTTATTGGTTATTCACACCTTATTAGGAACTAATTGTGAAACCAAAGTAGTCTCTAAAAAGATATCCTCTAATAAATGCAGGGCACTATTCTATACCCCAGAGCAAAAAAAAGAAATAATACATGGTACCTGTGTTCATACAACCAACAGTTTAGTGCATAATTTGAGGGGGGAGGGAGGACTTATACAAAATATTGTTTGTTGCGGTCCAGTGGTTTTCCAGTTGGACACTTCCTGACAACATTTGGTGTTTTCTTGGCAAAGATACTTGAGTGGTTTGCCGTTTCCTTCTCCAATTCATTTTTGAGATGAGGAACTGAGGCAGACAGGTTAAGTGACTCAGTGTCACACAACTAAGTGTCTGGGGTTCAATTTGAACTCAAGGCCCAGCACTATCCAATGTCACCTAGCTGTCCTTTATGCAAAATAGGATAAGATGAATTAGAAAATAAGTTCAAGGAGAGATAGAGCCCTAAGAGTTGAGAGGAAGTTAGAAGGGTACAAGGAAAGATTTCATGGAGGAGGTGAGACTGAATTGTTTCTTAAAAGGAATAGTATTTCTGAACGAATGAGAATATGCAATGAAGTTTCATTGATGAGGACAGAGAGGTTATTTTGAAAGATGAGATGCCTCAGGGATGGATGGGCCTTAATGAGGTTCAGAATAGGGAATTCTAAATGTTTGAGAAGGGATACCAGCAACAGAACACAGAAAAGGAAGTAGAAAATGTCAAAACAAAATTCTTAACCTTAAAAAAAACCTCCCAAAATATATAGTGTCTTAACAAAGGTTTAAAACTGAATTTGTACCAAACCCACAGAAAGGTTGAGGGTTTTATGGATCTTATATCAAATTTTTGTTTGATTGATCTAATTGTTTGGTCTGTTGTTTCAGCATAACCAAATAAAATAAGCTATAGATCTGCTGATGATGTGAGATCTGCTTTTGCTTTGTAAATCTTTCAACTTATAGTAGTACTATACTTTGTATTAGAGTGATTGCATACAAAATGCTAGGTTTTCTAAATGTTTATGTTCAGTGTCTTAAATAATTCATTCTGTTCTGCAGATTAAAAAATCTGTATGTGTTTCTAATTGTTGCTCTCCCTACTTCAGTATTGTTATGACAGTGGATGAAGTCACTTGGATTTAGGATACTTTGGTAAGCTTTTGAAGATTCTCTTTTTTGGATGATTCATGCTCAGTTTTGGCAAATGAACAGTAAGAACCCTCAGTAACAGAAAAAATTTCATCTCTCTTATGGGAAGATTCTACATCGACATGTATTCTGTTATTAAGTGAAGAGAAACATTACAATATTTGCTACTCAGAAGATATTTCTATGGAATAGGTGGGGAAACCAAAGTAGCTAAGATTATGAATCTTTTGCAAAACCCCCAATACTCTAAATGATAATGTGGCTATATAAAATGGACATTTAAAACTATAACTGCTATGACACTGGGATATGTTTATTAACATTTCTTTCTGATAATTGTGTATGAAAACATGGCTGAAAGGAGGAATTATAAACAAAACTGATTTGAAATCTTAAATCCAAATGATTGTAACTCTGTGTTCACACTATACTAAAATTTATTTGTGCACAGGCTTTTAAAATGTAAAAGAAATAAAAATGAACATAAATGGGAGTGTTACTGAATACAGAATTTGCTTCGCCACACAACAGCAAAGTGGATCCATGTTCACAAATTCAGATGAAAATCAAAGTACTTCTGTGTAAATAGGCTAAGTTTGGATATAAGCCTGTGGCTGTGTCATTGCCAAAAGTAGCCATCACGGGTCTTCATGACTGGTATGACAATAGTAATACATTTGAGTTTTAATGCCTAACCATTTGGCTGTTATTTGCAATATTATATGTATGAGAGGTTTTGTGTATATTTATGTACCTGTTATAGATTTTACATTTTGCCAGGAAATAAGTCAACATACAGTGTTTATTCTTCCTTTTAATAGCAATGTTTAAAAGTAGTAATCAAATTTACTTTGCTATTGTTTTACTTTTGTTTCAAAACCAAAATGCTGTATTAAAAAAAAAAGCTATTGATGTACAATGGAGTTGCAGCTGCCGGTGCTCCCAGATGTGACCAGAATCTGATTACAGTGTAATTGGGAAATACTTAACAAAACAAATAAAAATATAATAGTACTTAAATAATGTTAATACCTACATTTCTGTGTCTATATGTGAACAGCAGGCATGTCCCATTTCTATTTGAGTTTGACACCACTGAAGAAGACTTGAGTTTGAGTCACAGGCCCAATACCTACTTCTTGTATGAGTAGGAACAAATTATTTAAATCTTGTGCAGAGCTTCAATTTCTTCCTCTATAAATAAGGATAATAATACTTAAGCTACCAATCTCACAGGTTGGTTATGAGGACACTATTTTGTAAAATTTACACTTTTTTGTCAAACTGATAATGTTAGTTCACATACACATAGGGATTTAAATTAGGGAAAAAGTCATTCTCTTGATAATAACAATGAATCATAGAAATTAGTAGAAAAATAGGGCTTATAGTGTAATGAACCATAAATCTCCAGTATACCTCATGAAAGGAATCATGTCACTACCCAGGACTGTGTAGGAGTAATATTCCAACCTTCTTTTTCAGTACTAGGAAGATTCCTTCTGTGCTTTTAGCTGTTTAGCCTACATTCAGACTATTGTGTTCATTTCTGGGCATGACACTTAGGAAAGACATTGAAAAATGGTATTTCAGAAAAGAGTGAGTAGGAAGGTGAAGGGACTTGAGAGTATGCCATTTCAGGATCAACTGAAGGAAATACAAATCCTATGCTTGAGGCAGAAAAGATTTAGAAGGGACATGAATACTGCCTTCAAGTGTCTGAGACTCAGTCAAATGGAAGAGGGAGTATATTGTCACTCTGTGATTTGTTCCTGCTTTGTCTTACAGAGAAGAAGTAGGAAAATCAGTAGAAATTGCAAAATGGCACATTTGGGCTTAATGTTAGGGAAAGTTTCCCAACTAGAGTTATCCCAATGTGCCCTGAGATGACTAGGGTGCTAATGTGTTCTCCCTGATTGTAGCTCTTTCAGCAAGGGCTAGATTCCCACTAGTCATATAATTATAGAGGATCTTCTTATTCAGGTATAGCTTGGATTGAACAGCTTTTGAAATCCCTTCCAACTTTATGATTTTGTGATGTTGAGAGGTTTTTTTCCCCCCTTTTCTTAAATTGCAGTAAAATAAAGTAGTATTTAAACAGGCCAAACAATTATCTAAATAAATGAGCAATAGACTAAAATATATTTTAAAAATAAGTTTAATCTTAAGTATTTTAGCCAATTAAGCTAATGTCACCAGGATTAATATAAATGGTCTTTGTTAAGAAGAAAGATAACAGCAAAGATCAATATGAATTGTAGCTAATAATTGACTACACAGCCCTAATTAGCTAGAATTTCAGTAGCTGGCTTTGAAATCACTTCCTCTGAGAATCTTTAAACTTCTGAAGCATTTTAAGACTTGATGTACTAAGATGAAACTACCACTGTTCAATGAAGACTGCTTAAACTAAGCATGTTTTACTATCAGTTGTCCTAGGTTGGGCTGTGAAACTGTCTTGGGTCATGGAGACCAAAACCCCTTGCTTCATTCCATAGGTCCTTTTGAATGACAGTGATTTTTTTAAAGTAGAAATCAGATTTCTCAACTTTAGGTAGCATTCTTCCTTAATTTGCATTGAGAGGAAGACTCTTTCAAAGAGCCAATCCTGGAATTGTCTTGGATACTTAATGATTAACTTTTCATATCCTTGAAAACTAAAAATATGAAGATGGCATATAAATGGCCTCAGACGGATCACAGTAGTAGACAGAGAAGCAGCCTTAGCTCTGACAAGTTCTGCCTTTGATACGTACTGACTTTGTGACTCCTGGAAATCTGTTGGTGCACACGGACTACTATCTAAGATCCTAAATAGCAGAGAAGATGCATATTTCCATTTTAAGAAGTCTCCTCATTGAAAATTCTCAATGCCAGTGAAATCAAAGATCCAATAGTAATAAAATGTGGCCTCTTTCATAGAAAATATCTAAGGCATATGGATAAAGTTTAACCTGAGGCTGTAAGACTAACTAATTGCCAACGGGGGGAAAAAAAGAGAGTGTTGTCAGAATTGTATGAGATATGGGGCAGGAAAGAGTGACAGTAGGAAGAAGATGAAAAAATGGCAGCAACAAAAAGAGGTGGAAGAGATTTCCCCTAATTGAGGTAATGGCTAAGCAAAGGAACACTTAGTTGTGTGCCTTGATGGCAATGTTGTAATTTGAGGAGTTAGAGAACAGGAAAAAGATGGGGAGTGAGAAAAGAGGAAGGTGAAAGATTAGCAATTAATTATCTACAGTCTGTATTAGTTGGTCAATAAGAATTTATTAAGCATTTATTATATGCTTGAGAAACCCAGAGTCTAATGGAGTTTCTTCATTGAGATGAGTCAATACAAGTATAGAAAGACATGAACTTAAAAATGATCACCTTTGGCATCTGATTGTCAAATCCTATCCTGGGTTTTCTATTATAATAAGGAGCATGGTGTCATGGAAATAGTTCTGAACTTGGAATTAGAAAACCTGTGTTCAAATCTTGACTACTCTTTATTAGATGAATGACCAAGACACAACTTCTTTGAACCTCAATTTCTTTATCCATAAAATGAGGATAATAGTACTTATTGTACCTATCTAATAGCATAACAGAAGGATCATTTGAGATGATGTTTATAAAATACCTTGTTAATATATGAACATATTTGAGAAGTATAGTTAACAAAGACAAAAAAGAATTGAACACCTTAGTTTTTCATTCTCGCTCCTTGGTCTCCCAATATATTACAAAGTGACATTTTATTTATTGTGGAAATATAATGTGCTCTCCTTAGTGGATTCAGAAACATTTGTAAGCAGTGCATTATTTCATAATATCTAATTGGTTACATCACCCAGTAGTACACTCATACTTCAGCAAGGTGACTACAAAAGTAAGCTTATCGTAACATCTTATAAAAATAGGCCATTTATCCAGGAAATGTTTCCTACATCTTTTCAGTCATGCTAGCACAACAGTTTTTCATACAGGGTTCAATTGCATTACATTACCAATTGGAGTATCTAGTTATTTTATACTTAAAAAATAATAATAGTGAGGGTGAGAATATAATGTATTTTTGAAATGTTTGTGTAGACTTTAAAAGAGGGTGAAGGATTGGGTTCTTTAGCCCCCTATGCCTTTTTCCTTGTTTTGAGAGTTACGATAATCTGAGGCA